AACACTTTTTAGGTTCTGGATATCAGAAGTAAACAGATCAGATTAGATGATATAGAGTAAGGTGACCAATCGTTCTCCTTTAGGGAGGATAGTCCTCCTTTTGTAAGTTCTGTCCTCTCTCAAAAAGTATCCTCCTACACGTCCTCCTTTTTGATATTTGAAAACTAATCTGAAAATCTCCATATTCGATCGATGCTGAGCTGATCCATTGTGTGTGATGTGACATATTTGTATTTGACATGACGATTCGTCAAGGCTCGGTACAGTGTGGTGAGACATGATTATGAGACGCATGCGCTCCGCACAGGAGAATTGTTTTGAGAGAGTGCACCGCGCACAAGTGGCTTTGTTTACTTATTTACGATATTTTTTTCTTCAATTTATTTGTGTCCTCCTTCTCATTGTAAAAAAGTTGCTCACCTTATGTAAAGTAGATAATAAGGAATAAAATTCGGGTGGTCCTCATTTAGCAGTCGCTCATTCTGTAATCATTCAAACGTACAACCATGTTGAACCAGTGGTACTTGCCATTGGTCCTGAGTGTTTCAGCCATTGCAGCATCCTCACAATCATATGTCTTTTAATGTGTAAATGGTTTAGGAAATTGCTATCTGTAAAGTCATCTCTCCTCCACTGAATTTAGCGAGATCATTCCAACTCACAGCTCTAAGTGAAACTTAGGATCTAACTTTTGACCTTCTGTACTCAACTATTTCCTTGCTTTAGTTTGCAACTCTGCCAATTGCTTGGGAGATTTAGAGTTTTTTTATACTTTATCTTATACCAAAGGAAATCTGGGTTAAGGTTATTTTAGTTGTTTTCTTATTCTTTCTTTTCTGTCAAAACAAATCCCACCCCCCCAAAAAATTCCTACCTTAATGGTTTGCTCATTTTTTCTCATTGCCAAAGTCATATCTATATTCCTTTACATAAATAAGCATTAAAAAAAAAATTACCAGTATGCACTAAAAGTCACAGAATAATTTTCATAAAACATCTGACCAATGGGGTTCTTAGATCTGGCCCATGGGGCCACCCTGGAAACAGTGAAGGACTGGCCCGCTGTGCCTCTGCCAGAAAAAATGGATTTCTGAAGCTCCAAAATGGAGCAGGAGGCTGTTGTAGCTGAAAACGGAGCTCACGAGGACTGCATGCGGCCCTCCCGAGCTCCGTTTTCACCGGCAAGGGGTTGTAGGAGGCTGTCGCAGCTCAAAATGGAGCTTGGGAGCCCATTTTCACTGGCAGAGCGCTCTGGCCACCCCAGGCACCCCGACAGGAGTGACATCAACCTGGCCATGCCCACCCTGGCCATGCCCATCTCAGCCCCCCAAGGTCAAACACAACCCTGATGCAGCCCTCAATGAAATTAAATTTGACACCCCTGTCCTAAGGTATTTGTATAGTTGCAAATCTGGACATGTCATATAATGATATTCAGATGAAAGCTAACTATTGATGGAGAATTTCCAAGCCTCTGAAGTACTAGTTGCTAATCTTTAAGATGGTCTTGGATGGGGGAACTATTCACAGAGAATGTCTTTCTCTCTGGATCTGTTGGACTATACATTTCATAACCGGCAGCACTGATAAAGCAGTAATTATGGATTATGCATAGCTGAAGTAGGGAAACAGATATTTACTCTTACTTGTGAAGACAAGATGGAAGATTTAATTTGAGTTTTCTAATTCTAGATTAGGAATAGGATTTATTATTCTGCAATCATAAAACAATGATATATATATTTGTTAATTTTTGGACAAGCAACCTCTTTACACTCTTAATTCCTAACTTGAAATATTGTATTTGAAACATGAAAAATGTTCCATATTTTTAGAGGGAACACATGCAAAAGCTGAAGACAGGTGAAGGCAAGACTAACTTGAAGATTTCATATGATGAGGTTTTGTTTTTGTTTGTTTTTTAATAGCCAAATTGCTATAGGGATTTACACTGAAATGCCAGCCACCTGGATTCAGATATCTTAGTATATCCATTCTGAGCAATATCCAGGAATGTGAATTACTGAAGAATACAGCTGTTCCCTGTGGATTAGGCCCATAATCTGAGTATTTAGACAATAGTAAGCCTTTAAGAAGCTATTGTGTGCATCCAAACCATCTGTTCCTACTCAATATGAAACCCTTCTGCACTGTTTTGAGCTATCTACCACTCTGATTTAGTATAACTTATAATCATGGAACCCTAATAAGTAGACAGAAATCTATTGTAGCCAAGATTTTCCCATTTATTTCAATAGAGGAAACCACTCTCTGAGTACAAAGGTATTTGCATGTGCTTGCATGTGCACATGTACGTATGCTAATAGGAATGGTATGTTTAATCCATCAGTCCAAAGATGCCCTTCAATATGTAAATGAGAATGACACACATATATTCTTTGAAGTCTGACACACTACATCTGGAAACCCAAGAGGAATAATAACACAACCTGTTCTTCACTACAAGCACTAACCCAGCTCAACTATTGTAACCGTCTCTAAGAATGTCCTTGGGAGGCAGCAGGGGGAAGAGCCTCAGACTAGGCAATGATTAGATAAACAATTGGAGAGGCAGCAAATATCTCAGAACAGATCTTTCCTATTTTCTTGGACTATAAAAGCCAGGAAGGAGGAGATGTACTTTCATATTTGCAAGGTTCTGTTACTGTAACCTTATAGTAAAAGTAGTAGTATTATTCATTGTTTGAACTTCTTGTCTAGATGACAGATTGTTGGACATCAGGTAGAATGGGATGAGTAACCAGTGGTTCTTCAGACAATTCAGAGTTTCAGGTCCCCAGTTATTTACCCAAATCAGCAATGCTTATTGGCACTGCTAGGAATAATAATCTGTTATTATTAAGAGAAGCATTGATATGGACATGGGGAAAGGTTAAAAGGAAACATATGAAATTGCCAAACTGGGTTTCACCAATGGAGGCAATGATTTATCCGAACACATTAGATAAAAAAAAGATGATAAGATATAAAGAACGATTAGATAGCCAGGGGAAACTTAAATCAAATGAAGAATTAAAAGAACAGGATATAATTATAGACTGGTGGCCATATCTACAGACACAGTTGAGATATAGAAAGAATATGGAAAAATATGGAATTCAAGGGGTACCACAACAATTGGATAGAATATTGACAGGCAAGGAAGAAAAATTTATAACAAAAGCATATAAATATCTATTAGAGGTAGAAATGGAAGAAGAAATAGTGAAGACTCAAATGATAGCATGGGCACAAAATGTAGGCCGTAATATAAAGTTAGAGGAATGGGAAAAATTATGGAACAAAAACTGTAAATTAACATTGTCGACCGCATATAAAGAAAATCAGTACAAAATGTTTTATAGGTGGCATTTAATACTGGCGAGATTGGCTAAAATGTACGCAAATATGAAACCAGACTACTGGAAGTGTAAATATAAGAATGGAACATTTTATAACATGTGGTGGCAATGCGCCAAAGCAAAGAAATATTGGGAACAGTTAAGGAGATGGTTACAGGAGATAACAGGAGAACAATTGAATTTAAACCTGAATTATTTTTATTAGGAATAATTAATCAAAAGATAAAAAAGCAACTCCAACATATCATTTTACATATAGTAACAGCAGCACAAATTGTTTATGCCCAATGTTGGAAACTTGAAAATATACCAGCCAACGAGAGGATTATTCATAAAATATTAGAATGTGCCAAGATGTATAAACTCACATTAGAAATAAAAGGCAAGGAATTTTACAAGGTTTGGGATAAGCGGTATAAGTGGTTAGAATAGAGAAACAAAAATGTATAGAAATAAATGTAGATAACTGTAAGAGACACATGACACAGTACTGTTAAAAATGCTTATTATTATGTAAATTGGAAAAATGGAAAATATTTTTTTTTTTTTAAAAAGGAATAATAATCTGGAGGGGCCATAAGGTTCATCAGTTCTGCCTTCCATCCCAATGAGAGATACAGGTATACCTTGGAGATATTGTGGGTTAAGTTTCAGACCATCACAATGAAGTGAATATTGCAATAAAGCAAGTCACATGATTTTGCGGGTTTCCCAATGCAGATAAGTACACAGACTTTAATTAAAAATATGTTGTTGCTAAAAAAAATGCTAATCATCATCTGAGCCTTTAGTGAGTTATAATTTTTTTGCTGGAGGAGGTCTTATAAAAACACAATATCTGTGAAGTGGTAATAAAATGAAGTGAATAAATGAGATATGTTTGTATTATCTAAAACAGAAGTTACTCTTACACAATATCTTGGGGATTTTCTATTCTATATATTGTCTGCTCATTGGACCCTATAATAAGAAGGCATCATTTACCAGATATCAAGAAAACGTCCTTGGATTTTACCATGGTTCATTGCATAATCAGCCAGATGTTCAGATAGGACTTGGCATTTTTATCCACCTATTGAATCCTTCCCAAGGATCTTGGATAGGCAGTGATGGCATTAAAGGCACAGGATGTAAGCTGTTTCGAATAAAGCTGCCTTTTGCCATTGACTGGTGGTGATTTTGTCAATGCTGATGGCGTTCAAGTGGTGCTCCAGTTGTTTCGGGATTGCACCCAAAGCGCCTATTACTTATTATTGGTACTACCTTTGCTTTCTTTTGCCACAATATAATATTTCTATTCTCAGGTCTTTGTGTTTTGTTATCTTCTTCAGTTCCTTCTCATCTATTCTGCTCTCTCTAGGTACTGCCACATCCATTCAGACTTTTTGGTCTGTCTTATAGACAATTTTAAATCTGGGGAGTGAATTAAGTCCCACTTAAGCTTTTTCTTTCTTTTTTTTATTTTATTGATTTAAAAACAAAAACAATAAAAACATATACACAGGAGAAAAGAAGAAAAAAAACGTACATACAGATACAAATAAAACATACACAACATATATAACATTTAAACGTGATGACTTATTTCTTAAGACAGTACATCGGTAAGATATATTTCTCAATATATACTCCCATCTCTCACCTTATATAACGATATTATTTTATTAAGGTTTCGTTGTACTCTGTTGTGTCTCATTTGGTACAGGATTTGGTTCAAGTCTTTTAGGATCATCTTTTTGTTTGGTTTTCCTTTTCTCCAGCCATTGATACCACTTTTGCCAAACCAGATAGTAGTCTGATTCTTCCTTTCCTTGGATTTCTTTAGTGAGTTTGTCCATCTCGGCACATTCCATTATTTTCGATATTATTCTGTCTTGTGTTGGGATTTCTTCCGATTTCCAATTTTGTGCAAAGATGATTCTTGCTGCAGTCAAAATGTGTGCAATTAAATATATTGTTTCTTTTTTGTAATTATTTGTTAATATACCTAATAAATATGTTTCCGGTTTTAATTTCAAAAATGTTTCCCAACACTTCTCCTCTCTGTTGGAAATGCAAAATACAAAAAGGGACATACTACCACATGTGGTGGTTGTGCCCGAAAGCAAAACAATTTTGGAATAAAATCAAAACCCAACTGGAAGAAATAACAGCACAAAAAATACCATTAAAACCCACTTAAGCTTTTTCATTTTCTATAATTTCTTTATTTTATGGACTCACCAATTCTTGCTTGCAGGCAAATGGTATTTCTTTCAGATCACCATTGTTGCTACTTTATCATGCCATTGCTTGTAGCCAATCTGTGTGATCTTCTTGCAGCAGCTAACCAGAGTCCATTATTTCTTCAGCTTCTTTGCAAATGCGACACTTGCTGTCTTTCCACTTCTGGCTTTGTATGCACTTGTTTGTAAGATATTATCTTGTGCCTTAACCCTCCTGTCTCTTTCTTCAATTTCCCTGCTATTAACCATTGCCAGGTCATGTTATTATTTGCTTTTTCTGCTATTTTTTAAATGTACTGGCCATGTAAAAGTCATTATTACTATTAATTTTATGTCCAGGAAAGTACCATAGAAAACTTTTGTCAGAAGAAAAAGTTTCTAAATAAAATTAATTATTTTAAATAATTTCTCTTTTTAGAAAAGGTAGATCAAAATGAAAAAGATTATTGAAGCCCATACAATTTACTCTGAGGGATGCATCTGGTTGGTAACTGAATTTCTCAGATTATGTATAGTTTTGACCTCCACCCTCATGACATCAGAAAAATAGAAGAAAAGTTATAGGCTCAGCAATTTTGAGAGTTGGTGGCTAAATAAAGTCAGATTTGTTCTTGCTGAAAACAAAGGGGAGGGGAAATAAACAAATAAAAACTAATTTTCAGAACATTAAATTAATATGTTTCAAGTCAGCTATAAATAGTAAGCAGGAAGCAGTGAACAAAAGGCTTTTCCCTCTTGGAAAATTAAATCTGATTCATTCACAAACTGTAAATCAGCCTTGCATTTAAAACAATAATTAATCAAAGCATTTATCCTAAACAGATGAAGAGGAAAGGACCACAAGTCAGGAAAATGCTTCTCTTAAAAAAACAACATAAAGAAAACTGTAAAACAAAAGCATGAAAGAGTCCTTAAATCACACTCAGAAATGTTTATTTTAGCAACATGTGGTAAAATGCTCCATGACACAATTGGTGTGATGTCTTCACTTTATGTTTCCTAGCACTGTTCCAAAATATGATTCATGTTAAGCAAGATTTCATAGTACATAGCTCCATGATTAAAATGCAACATCTTCTCCAGCTATTTTTGGTCCATGATATATCTACCTAAGAAAGCAACTCTAGCAATAAAATACCATCCCTATGTGATTAGTACATTAACTCAAAATGATTTTGTTTACTAAATCTTGAGATGTCTCCAAAATAAAATAACGACTGTGCCAGCTACTCAGTGAAGAAGGCAAAATAGTAGCAGATGACGCCCCACCCCAACCCAAAAGGCAGACCTAATCAACTCTTTCCTTGGTTCAGTTGTCTCTATCAAGAGAATGCTGCTAGGTAATTGTGAAGACTTGATGGAGGAATTCTAATTCAAGCTTAATAAAAACATGGGAGTAAATATGTACTGATCTTGAATGAGTTCAAATTACAGAGCCAGAGAAAAAGAACTCAAAATGGCAAACCAGTGCCAGTCTGAGACTGATATTTGGGGAAATCCTGAAGCATGTATGTGACAAGAATAAATCTTGTAAGAAATGCAAAAAGCTTCTTTGATAGATTGAAAATACACTGTGGAGTATACTGTGGATGTTAGATAGCTTGATTTCAAGGACCTGACTTTCTACAAGATCTGAAGACCCAGAGGTTCCTTTTTCCTTTCTATTTGATGTCCAGTATTCCTATTTGATCTCCAGGGTCAGCCCTCTGAGGTAATTCAAACAACAATCACAAACCAATTTGCAACTACCTGCCAACTTCCCCATTGAGTTTCCTAGTGGGAAGCTGGCAAGAAGCATCAGAAATCTTCCTTCTTTCCTTCCTTCCTTCCTTCACCCATAGAAGAAGACACCATAGAAAAAGACACAATAGAAGAAGACACCCCCTGAGCAGGGGGTTCAACTAGAAAACACCAAGGTCCCTTCCAACTCTGTTATTCTATTCTATTCTATTCTATTCTATTCTATTCTATTCTGTTCTGTTCTGTTCTGTTCTGTTCTGTTCTGTTCTGTTCTATTCTATTCTCATTACTGATAGTATTGATACTGCAGTTAATTTCTGGCTCCATTTTTCAACAATTCCCTTTAATGTTTTCATATATCATTCTATACATCCTAGTACAAGAGTGGATTGTACATTTTCCTTCTGCTTAGAACCTTTTGTCCCCCAAAGTATCCTGTTTCTGAAATCTAAAAACTAACTTATCTTTCTTATGATTTACAATAGCCAGGGTACCCAAAATAAGTCTGTTTCTCCTGAGAAATCCTTAATTTTTTATAGTTAATTCCAAAATCTTATAGTAAAAGTCAGTATTCCAAATACATCTGGATCTTTAATTTGTTTACAACTTTCTTAGATAAAATCTTATTTAGCTTTTTGCTGTTTATTTCAAGTTCCTTGATTTTTTAAGTTTATAATTATTCTTTTTTTTTGTTCAGAATTGGAGAAAATGAACTTGAAATTATTTTCTTCCACATATCTAATTTATAGTCCAGAGATTTCCTGGTGGTCTAGTATCCAGGATCCAGGTTTCATTTTGCTCAGCTGTTTGAGATCAGCCAAATTAGAGGTGGATGGGGGTAGGATTGTGGCATAGATGTTCCTTTTGAATCTGGTAATGCAAAGGTAAAAGTCACTGTAAGTGTGTGCATGTTTAAAATAGCAATTAAATAATTAAATCTATTGCAAGTTCATGGATGTGATTTTGATTACAAGTCCATCTTGTCCCCACTTATAATATCTTCATATAAGCCTGATTCCAGATAATCTGCAATATGCTGTGAAAAATTTGGTGTAGCCATTGCAGTCTCTTGACTACACCAAGTAGCTTTTTCACACTGGCTCTGTGTTTTGGCATTTAGACTAAAATAACTTCCCCTCTGTCTCCCAGCCAGTTAGCACTGGCTGCTTTCCTTTTTTTACACAAGGATAATTTGCTGCCCAAATAAGATGCCTATTGTTTTGGCTTGGGTTAATAGCTAAGCCATTTAAAAACATTTGTTGGTAGATGTCATGATAAAACATTAAAAGGGCTCAACCCTAACAGGCAGTTGCATGTGTATCCCTGTTTGCTTCCTTTGTTTAACAACCTTGAAATGCATATGAGCAACCAAATTCTTGCATACCACATTGATAGTTAATATATAAACAGCATACTGGCAACCTTTCCGCCACTGAGATTTCCCCCTCCTTAATCACATCTGTCAATCTTTTCTTGAGAAAAAAATATGGCATTTGATGTAACAGATTAATACATCAACTATGTTGTTATGCAAAAGGAAAAAAAATAGAAACAGAACTGTTTTAATCACGTACAGAATTCCCAAACTCTTCCAATTATCCTCTGGTGAATTTTTTTTTTTAAAAGAAAATCAACTGGCTGACACAGATGAGTTTGCATAACGCAGAAAGCTAAAAAAAAAAAAAAAACCCCTCAGTTTATAAGAGTACTTATCAGCCTATAATTCCCTCTTCTCGAGTTCATCCAGATCATTACACACATTTGGGAGTTTATGTGTCATCTAAACTAAAACTATCATCATTTTGGGATTTTGGAAACCGAGACTTGTAAATTATTATAAACCTTGGGTAAAAACCTTAGGAAGCCCCAAAAGGCTTATTGGATTATATGGTAAACCATAAATATGATTAAAGAATCCTGTATGTAGTGGGTAAAATGGAGGCATGAGCACTAGAACTAGTTTGATATACGAATAAAAGGAATATTGCTCAGGTTAAGCAAATGTACACAAAGCTGCAGACTGTTCTTTGGCTTCAGAGAACAAAAGCTAAGGAAGCAGGCTGTACAAATAGAAAGAAATATAATATAATAACTTCTAATATAGCCAGTGTTGTTAAGGTAGATCCAGGTTCTAGTTTACAGAATGCTCAACAGAGCACCGAAGAGAGACTCCATTTCCTTAGGGTTTTGCGTAAAAACAGGGTGGAACAACAACTGATGGCCTCCTTTTACCAGTCCACAATAGAAAGCATCCTCATTGCATCATGGTTTGGTATGCTGGTCTGACAGCCGCAGATAGAAAAACATTACACAGAGTGATGAGCACAGCCCAAAACATTGTGGGCTGTCCCCTGATACCACTAGATGAGATCGCTAGGACTCGTTGCCTTAGAAGAGTGAGGAAAATCCTCAGGGATGACTCACACCCCAGTCACCACTTCTTTATCCTCCTACCATCGGGAACGAGTATAAAAGCATAGCCAGCTGCACAAACAGGCTGAAGAACAGGTTTTATCTGTGGGCTATCAGACTCCTGAATGCAAAATAACATCATAACTAAGTAGTGCGATGGACTTGCACTGGTGAAATAGGTCTGGGTGGTTGTTAATATGATTTATTGGGTTAGACATTTTCTATCTTCACTGTGAGTTGTATTGTGTTGGTGGGGGTGCACTGAGGGAGCTCAACTAATCTCATTGTACATATGTTGTGCACTGACAGTAAAGATTTGAAATTGACTTTCCATTATAGAAGTCCACTAGGCAAGTTTGGGATAATTGGTCTATTTCAGCCCAACCTCTGGGCAAATAGGAGGTGGGAGAACTACATATGCCATGTGAGCTTCTGTGTAAAATGTGGGGTAGAAATCTAATGAATGTATATCCTGGAGTAGTTATTGAAGGGACTTGCTGAAAAATAAAACACCAAAAAGGGATCAGTTTTTTTCCATAAATTGGCAGGTAATTAGGAGGAAGACAGGGAAGGAAGGTGAGAATCACAGTTGGGCATGAACTGCATGGTAGTTATTCATAAGAGTAGGGAAGCAGGAAAAAAAGTAATAGTGACAGATACAGTACAAAGAAGAGTCTTTCCTCAATCTATCCTGAGTAGAGTCTAATAGCTGCCTCAGGGTTCTAAATTAAATTATTTATCACACTAGGAATCTTTTCTGAAATTTAGAAATGAACGAGTGAGCTTCTTGCTGGGAATCTTCTTTGCACTACCTTTCAAAGAATGATGATTGATTATAGCATATTTGGGCTGCAAAATCTGGACAGCTATTGGCTGGCAGCAAAGATTTAACACATTCTGTGGAATGGCTGCTGTCTAATTGTCATCCAGGTTTTTGCAGCCTGGCTATGTTATGTTTGAAATGGTCCCTTGAATGTAGGGTGCAAAATTTTATAAAATGCAGCAATAATGGGAGCAAAACTATTATAATGGTATGTGCATGATCTTGGGAGATGGAGCAGGGAGTGGGGGGAAAGAGGTGCTATCTAGAGAATAATCAGATAAGAGAGGGAATAGCCTGCAGATATATAATGGGTAGAGAAAGAAGCTCAGAAAGATACCTCCCGAACTAATCAGATGATAAAAGTGATGGTGGAGATTTGTAAACTTGCAAGATTCTGTTCATGTAGCCTTACAATAAAATAGA